AATGAATCATCTGTATTTCACAGACGCAGACCTGAACTCATAAGAACACAATCCATTTGCATATTGATTATTACCATGTTAGCTAAATTTTCAGATCTCAGACTGCTAATAAAACAAACTAGCAACCCCTAACACCAGTGTTGTTCATTAGAAGTATTATGCATGGGTTGTCTAAAAAACCAGGAACCGGAACGTGAAATTAAAAATATTTCATCATACGGGTTGTTTAATATAAGTGATATTTCATTAATAGGGACTTAGTTTATATATTATTAATTTTATTATAATCTCAATTTGTAGTTATTTTAATAATGTGGATGAAATAATAGGCAGAAAGCACATGTTTACAATGCATGTTTCCACTTGAAGGCGCACTTGTGATGTTCTTGTTGCTTCCAAATATTTTTAATTTCACGTTCCGGTTCCGGGTTTTTTGGACAACCTTATGCATGCCATGCTTATTGTCTTGCGTTTTATAGTTTAAAACTTAGCTGAAGGTGGTCAAATATACCCATACTTGTCTACTTTACGTATGTACTTTTAAATTAGTAAATTGCCACAAGTCAACAGTCTCAGTATTTTGAACTTCATAATGATAGTATCAATCAAGTTATTTCACTTTATGCTATCAATTCTTGTACTCTGCATTTATGAATATATAATTAGCTATATTAATATATTTATTGTGATTTTGGTATTGTTAGTCATTTTAAAACTTTTTGTATTGAAGAAGAATTAGTGTTTTTTTCATTCTGAATTATTGCAAATAATTTTGGGATTTTAACAAGCGCCTGAGCAGTCTCAGACATTTCAATTGAAACTTAGGTGGACTTCTTAGGTCCTAGGTTCAGCCATATTCTACAATAAGTGCCATAGTCGGATCATTGTGATTCTGGTAAAGTATCCTTTGTTTTGATCACAAATGGGATTATCTCTGTCAATATTGTAAAGTATATCTATGTCCAGGTTGTTTAAAGTATAAAAACTAATTTTTTTTATAAAATTGACACACAGCTAACTGGGATGGATTCTATGATCTGGAGACCCATATATTTGGATACACATGGACTGTGGGGACAGATCACTGTTTAGATGATATCCATCCACATAAAGATCCCCATAGTCATTTATTTGATGAAAGTGAATGGACACATACTGGTATAGCTCATCCACTTGAATTAGATGGTAAGTACATGTACATCGTAATTTGCAAATATTTTATAAAAATGCTTGAAAATTGTGTGCTTTGTCCTGAATTTAGAAATAACATACCAAAATATTGTCATAATTCACAGCCATTAAAATGAATTACTTCAAAGAAAACCAAGAAGACTGAACAAATGACATTCAACATTACACCACGTACAGTCACTCAAACAACTGACAACTCACAAAGGGAAAAGTGGACCATAGTAAATAGTCAAATCTGCAAAAGAAAGATTTATAGACACAGAGGTTATAAATAGAAATTAAGCAAGTGTATCTTATTTGGTAGCCGATTTAAGACGTCTTTAGCATATTAGGTGGAATCATGAAAATACATAATTTGATATTGACATTGTAGATATTAACCTACAAAATATAATTGATGTTAGAAAAGTGATACAAAGAAAAGCTTAGCATCCTACATCAGAATAATTATACTGACAAGGATATGTGACTGGTCCTCTTATTTTAAATTGTTATTCTGACGTTGTTTTCCTTTGTAGATGGTCAGTACCATGTGACAGTAAGGGCGCTGAACAAAGTGGAATTTGGTGGACCATTGGCGACTACTGTTTGCCATTCAACACCATATACTATTGATAATACACCACCTGTAGTATATCATGTCCATCTCATTGAATATGATGAAATATCATGCCATATATTTGTAGAGTATGATGTCAGGTATGTATTAATATACCCCAATATAATTCTATTATGTACATCGGTGTCAGATATTTATTATCCCTTGGAACACTTAAATCAGATTTTGTCCCCTTTAAAAAACTCAGACAACATAATTTTTAGCTGCTCTGTTTTTGAAGATGACCGAGCGGAGCTCATGGGTTTACCACACCTGTTGTTGTTCGTACGCAGTGAGTCATACTTTTTTAATTCAAACGTCTTCTTTTCCAGTGAGGGTGGGAGAGACTGTGTGGGGCACCATTTTTGTGGGTGGGGCACCAGTCTGTGCGCATGTGTTGCCATGGTAATGGTAATGTAGTGAATTAGTCATAGAGACAAACAATTGTTGATGACAAAAAAA